ACACACACACACACACACGCACACACACGCACACACACACACACACACACACATACAAAGCTTCTCACCTGTAGTATCCTGAGGGCCTGATCCAGCACAGACTTTGTGTCGGTCAGGTAGTCAGAGGATGGCAGGGTCAGCTGACTCATGTAGCACTGCAGCAACAGGTGGGTCTTGGTGTGGGCCGAGTCTAGCGACGACTGACTCACCTCCAGGGGAACCTGGCTCGCCAAGTCGCTGTGGGACATGTTTTTTTTATTTTTTTATTAGGGTTTGGTTATAGAACGAGCGAGTTTTATGACAGTGACATCTACACCATTGCCTAGTTTAGGCTTACAATTCAAAAAAGTCATTAGAAACATCAAACTAATTACTTTAAAAGTTATAACGGCCAGCTCTATGCTTAACACTTTGCAGTCACACAGCCAGCAGTACAAAATACCCCATCTGGTAACCCAGCCAGGAGAGTGACTGCAGCAGACTTCTCGGGCCTGGCGCAGAACTGCCCCAAGTGACCGGAACGGATAATTTTCACAGTCACATTATTGTGCCAAGTGACCGCAAAGTGTAAAGAATAAAATGGAGGAGGAGGAGGAGGAGGAGGAAGGAGGAGGAGGAGAAAAAAAAGAGGAAGAACAAGAAGAAAAAACGGAAGATGGAGAAGAAAAACAGTAAGAGCAAATAGACTTAATATGTCATATGGCAACATCGGGCAGATAATCCTGGGTCATACTCTCCATACTTTGACTAAAATAATTTCTTGTCTCAATAATGCAAAAGCTACACCCATAACATCCAGAGAGAAAAAAAAAAAGTTCACAGGGATATCGCTATTGCTATCATTTCTTTTAAAGGCCACAAAATAAAAGGCTACAGCGTCTCCTCGTTTCAGCTGGAGTTCTTGACCTAAATAAAATGATGGTACAATGCTCAACTCATTATTTTCATGAAAGCATTCCATAGACCGAAATCATTTCAGCTCTCTTTGGATGGGGAAAGAAAATCTCGCACAACTAAACAGCAGTTTGTGAGGGTCTGACTCTGAGACGACCCAAACGTGTTGAAAAAGGATTCAAAATTCAGAGTACCGGTACATTGAGTACTTAAGTCAAATGTCGGGAGTACTCACGCGTTGAGCTGGTCCTCGTTGTGTCTGACGGGCAGCTCAGCATACTCGGCCGCATTCTGGGGAACAGAAAAATACAAGAAATAATTTTGAAAAACAATAGAATATAATAACATAATAGAATAAATAACAGAATAAATAATAGAATAAATGACAGACTAAATAGTAGAATGAATAACAGAATAAATAATAGAATGAATAGTAGAATAAATAGATCTAATAGAATAAATAACAGGATAAATAATAAAATAAATAA